GAACAAATATCTGAAAAATCAACCTTGACTCTTAAAGGTAGTGAGATATACTATATGAATTCATTTTTATGATGTAAATAGATGTCTTTCAAAAATAAAGGCTGGAGTTTGGACATGTTGGAATTTTCTTGTTGGATAAACAACTCCTCCCTTGGATAAAACTTTAAAAGCTGCCTGATTTTGCAGAGTCTTTAAGAATTTGAATTAATTGATTTCAAAGGTAACATTGTGTCAATCAAAGACCAGTAGTGGAAAAAAAAAAGAAAAAAAGAAAAAAGAAAAGAGAAGAAAAGAGAAAAAAAGAGAAGGAAAGAAAAAAAGAAAGAGGAGAGGAGAGGAGAGGAGAGGAGAGGAGAGGAGAGGAGAGGAGAGGAGAGGAGAGGAGAGGAGAGGAGAGGAGAGGAGAGGAGAGGAGAGGAGAGGAGAGGAGAGGAGAGGAGAGGAGAGGGAGGGGAGGGGAGGGGAAAGGAGGGGAGGGGAGAGGAGAGGAGAGGAGGGGAGGGGAGGGGAAAGGAGGGGAGGGGAGGGGAGGGGAGGGGAGGGGAGGGGAGGGGAGGGGAGGGGAGGGGAGGGGAGGGGGGGGGAGGGGAGGGGAGGGGAGGGGAGGGGAGGGGAGGGGAGGGGAGGGAGGGGAGGGAAAGAAAGGAAAGGAAAGGAAAGGAAAGGAAAGGAAAGGAAAGGAAAGGAAAGGAAAGGAAAGGAAAGGAAAGGAAAGGAAAGGAAAGGAAAGGAAAGGAAAGGAAAGGAAAGGAAAGGAAAGGAAAGGAAAGGAAAGGAAAGGAAAGGAAAGGAAAGGAAAGGAAAGGAAAGGAAAGGAAAGGAAAGGAAAGGAAAGGAAAGGAAAGGAAAGGAAAGGAAAGGAAAGGAAAGGAAAGGAAAGGAAAGGAAAGGAAAGAAAGGAAAGGAAAGGAAAGGAAAGGAAAGGAAAAGAAAAGAAAAGGAAAGAAAAGGAAAGAAAAGGAAAGAAAAGGAAAGAAAAGGAAAGAAAAGGAAAGAAAAGAAAAGAAAAGAAAAGAAAAGAAAAGAAAAGAAAAGAAAAGAAAAGAAAAGAAAAGAAAAGAAAAGAAAAGAAAAGAAAAGAAAAGAAAAGAAAAGAAAAGAAAAGAAAATCCCTATGAATTGTGTGCTACACTGGAAATCTGTCAAGTCCCATTCAACATCAACCAAGACTTCCGTGACCTTTGATTAACCTTATGTTACCCTCCAGCTAAATGAGTTAGTAGCTATTAAAGCTGAAGCACACATCCTACCTTCCATAATGAAAGAGTACTTAATATTTATTCAGGTATAAGCAGCTTTTAAAACTAGTGTACAAAGATATCTAATCTACAGTGATCTTCCCTCTTAGGAAAATATCATTCTTTTTATCTGATTACTTCTGGCAGTGGTAAAAATAAGGCATTCATTTGATTGTAATACTTAAAATTAAGATTCAGTGGATTCTACTTCATCTCACAAATTGCTTTTCCTTCAGCAACCTACCAATTGCTTGTAACACTATTAAGAGGGAGTTCAGAGGTGCAGAGGTGTACCCATCAAGGACATTTTAGATGTGTATTTTTTCCTCACTTTTCAGTTTGTGTTTCTGTCTTAGGTCCTCCATAATGCTTTCTTCCTTTCTACCTTCAAATGTCCTCTAGTGAAAAGAAATGTGAAAAGCACTAAATGAAAGAAATTTGTAGTCCAATTTATGAAGGGAAGGTTAATATTCTGATATTCTCTTCTTAGGATAAATCGTTGAAACTTCTTTTCTTTAAAGAATAATATGTAGTAATGGATGTAAAAATACAGGTACTAGAGCATCTGTCCAAAGTCACATGAAAGGTTTGTGTAAGTTCAGCATCTAACCTCTGCCATTGGCCAACGACATAAACCTGGGGAATAATAATCAAGAACTGCAAACATATGAGGAATTCTTTTTTCCCATGCACACTGTCCAGCTTTCAGCAACCTGTGTCTCTGGGATGCCCTTAAACAGTGGTACGAGAGACATCTCAAAGTACGCTGAAGCAACTTAGGCAGCTTTTCTCATCCCCGGTTGTCATTTCCCTTCCTGTTAGCACTGAACAGGAATACATTGCTCATTTTTTCCTAAATCAGAGAGATATCAGCCTTTACTGTCCTTTCTTCTTCCACAGAATCATAGAATTGTAGGAGTTGAAAGGAACCTCTGTATAACATCCAGTCCAACCTCCCTGCTAAAGTGGGTTTCCTAGATTAGGCTGCACAGGAAAGTGCAAAGACAGGTGTTGAAAATCTCCAGAGAAGGAAACAGCCTTTATGAGCAACCTGTTCCAGTGCTCTGTCACTTTCAAAGTAAAGTTCTTCCTCATTTTCACTTTCTTTTTTTTCATTTCAACTTTTTATATTCCAACTTGTGTCCATTGCCCTTTGTTCTGTTGTTGGGCAGTGCCAAAAAGAGTCTGGCACCATCCACTTGATACCGGTCTTTTAGATATTTGTAAGCATTGAATAGATCCTCCCACAGTCTTCTCTTTTCCATGCTGAACAGTATGGTAGATGCTCTAGGCCCCAAACCATCTTTGTGGCCCTCCACTGGACTCTCCAGTAGTTCCACGTCTTTCTTTAAACTGAGAAGCCCAGAACTGGACACAGTGTTCCAGGTATGCACCAGGGCAGAGTAGAGAGGGAGGATCACCACTCTTGGCTTGGCAGTGCAGCCTACTGGTGTGTGAGTCACTCCTTCCAGCTATATATCATCACCAAACTTGCTGAGGTGCACCCTATCCCTTCATCCAGGTCAATGATGACAATGTTAAACAAGTCTGGATCCACTATCAACCTTTGGGGAACAGCAAAAGCTAGAAGGCCTCCAATTAATCTCTCTGTCATAAATCACAGTTTTCTGACCTCTGCCATTCAGGCAGTTCTCAAAGAACCTCAGTGCCCACTCATCTATCCCACACTTACCTAAGAGAATGTTATGGAATACAGTGTCAAAAACCTTGCTGAAGTACTACTTTGAACAGAGCTGGTGAGCTGTACTCACTCACTATGCTGGGAATGCACTCTGTACTGCAGTTCCTTGTCAAATCCTCCACTGAAATCAGGCATCTGAAAGCTGACCGCTTCCCACAGCTGTTATGTTAAAAAAGTGCAGTTTCACAATACATGCATTTAGTTGCTGCTAAGTCTAGAGGCATCTGAAATCAATAAATGATGCTTCCCTAGGAAAATCTCCATATGAATGTTCCCTATAAACTTCGGATATGCTTAGAAAAGGTAAAATCCATAGCAGACACACATCCAGCTTGCACTGAATCTCTCCTGAGATCTGAAATGGTGTTTCTTTATTTTCACCTGTAGAAATTGCTGTATTCAGGAAGCCAAAAATTCAGTTTCAGGTTTAACATCATGGTCTAAAATGATGTGTCCAGATGTATTATTATTGATTGTGAATAAGTAAATTCAGGCTGAACTCTGAAAATGTTCTTACCTGTATCACCTGCATCTTACATATATGCTCTGTATGTGACTTCTTTGAGTCCTTCCAGATAAAGCTATTCTGCTTTCTAAGGGTTCATAAAACACTTACTGTACCAGACAGAATTAATGACCACAGTGTTTTAAGGTTAGGATGCCCACTGAAGAGAATGTGTGTATAGGTTACAGGTCCTCGTTGTCACAGTTATGTGTGACAACAGAAAATAGTTAACCTCCACTCAGTTCTGTATGTCCTCAGTATTTTTACTCTGATTCAGCTGGGTTGCGTACAATTATATCTGCATTCTCTGTATTGGTCTTTCCCTCAGATAACAGTGTTCGTTTTTTTTTTTCACCATATTGATGCTCTGCTGATATTCAGTTCTCTGAGATATGGATTACTTTAAGGTTAAATGTAAAAATTTGTTCAGCTGCTATAAATCTCTTCCATTGTGAGTGTTAGACTGAGTCTGTGATACTAGTGTACTTTTGTATATATATATATATATAGATGTATCTCCTGTCTCTACAGTTATTTTCTTTGTAAGAGAATAAAATAGCTGAGTTCTCCTCAGAGATTGAAAATTGAAAGGTCTTTATTTTAGTATACTTCAAATTAAACTATGACTTACAATTTGCTGGGTTACCTGTATAACCATTTCTGCCTCATATTCCACATTTAACTGCTTTTTTTTTTTGTTGATTCCCTAACCCCCCAGTGTGTTTTGTTGAGCCAAGCTATGTCGTATTTCATACCACCATTTTCTAGCGGTAACAGGCTATAACCCTGAATAGTTTTAGAACTTGTAATAAAAGTCTGAAAGGAAAAAGAGACAATAATTATCATTAGTCAAGAATGTTCGTGTTGAATCAAAGAAGTAGAGAATACTCCCAAAAGTTGATTGTGACATCTGGTTTGCACTGATATTTTATTCCTGAGCCTACACTGTTCTTCATTTTGCTCTGCTGTCTTGTTCTATCCTTCACAGTTACATTTCAAATGACCTTCACCTCTAGAGAAAATGGTGTTAGTCTTGGCTTTCTAATGCTTTTGTGTTTTTAATGAGAGGTCTTGCGTTCTACAGACTTACTGCACAGCCCTGTTGGTTTCACTAGGGTAATGACGTCAGGTGCTTTTTAGCATCTGTTATGTGTTTATCACCTCTTGCTTGCTTTTTTCAGCTCCTGATTTCTACTCTTATTTCTGATATCAAAGTTTATCTGAAAAACCAGTGGAGACTTTTGAGATTATATGTAAGAAAATGGGACCATGAGAGGGCTTGTATGAACTGTTCAGACAGATAGTTTGTCTATTTTATCTACTGTGTGTTGTTGCAACTCTTGTGTTTGTACCTTGTATGATTCCATGTTTTATTCGATTTATACAACTTGTTGTATCCTCCATGTACTTTGTTACCACTTCAACTGACGATGGACAAGTCCAACAAATCAGGGCAACATTTGTAACCAAGTCCAAGAAATCTTCTGTAGTAACTGTGTAACGATTATCTTCCCCTTCTCCCCTTCCTCCTTCCCTCCTGCTTGTTTGCTGTCTTTTATTTTTAGCTCCCTTTTCTTTTCCTCAGGACTGCGGAGGGTCACTTATGCTTCATTTCAAGCAATCTTTGAACCACGGTGGTGGTGGTGGTAAGTGAAATTAATACCAGTGTTTATCACTTTTGCTCATTCATCGCAGAAAAGCTTCAAATACTGCTAAATCTTAAGAAAAGGCAAGGCAAGGCAAGGCAAGGCAAGGCAAGGGAAGGCAAGGGAAGGGAAGGGAAGGGAAGGGAAGGGAAGGGAAGGGAAGGGAAGGGAAGGGAAGGGAAGGGAAGGGAAGGGAAGGGAAGGGAAGGGAAGGGAAGGGAAGGGAAGGGGGAGGGGGAGGGGGAGGGGGAGGGGAAGGGGAAGGGGAAGGGGAAGGGGAAGGGGAAGGGGAAAGGGGAAGGGGAAGGGGAGGGGGAGGGGAAGGGGAAGGGGAGGGGGAGGAGGAGGGGAAGGGGAGGGGGAGGAGAGGGGAGGGGACGGGAGGGGAGGGGAGGGGAGGGGGAGGGGGAGGGAGCAACCACAAACCCTATACCTGTATTTCCTCACAGTGGTTTTCTGTTATTTCTTGCTCTTTTCCTTCTCCTCCTTCCAATATTTCACTGGAATTAGCATTCAGGAATTTTCCTCCTCATGTTCTTTTATATTTCCCAAAGGAATAATACTTCTTCAGTTCTGCAGTTTTTGCTCCCTCTCCACTTCAGTCCAGTTGTGTTTGCTATAACTTCAAACACACTGCCCCCAAATGCTGCTATTTTTTCTTCAATTCCAATTTCCAGTTGATATTTCTATGCTTTTATCACTGCCTAATCTGTCCCTCAGTTCAAAATAGAATTTCCTAGAGTACAGTTCTGGTTTTAGATTTGTACTGCTCATTTTCTTTTTCAGCATCTTTTTACTCTCCAGCTCAACATGCATTTTGGCATAGAAAGACTCTGACAGCTGCTGTTGCTTTCTTCCTTATATGATCTTGAGTCTTAGACAGATCTGAATTTCATTTTATGCAAAGTGGTTTATATAAATTTTTTTTTACTGTGCCATTTTAAGAGTTTTGTGTTTCCTGTGACAGAAAAAGAACAGAAGGAAAAAAAAAGCATATGTTTGTCAATAGTTTCTTAGTCCCAGTATTTTTTCCATGTCTTTACACATGCCTTTGACATAGCAATGATGTGACACATACATGTGTCATAAAGGGGAATTTTTCTACATTCAACTATTGACTCTTTGAGTGAGACATATTTTTGTCTCAGTCTCCTCCCAGTTGTACAGAAAATACCCCAGTATGGTTTGTCAGCATCTGACTAACAAACTGTGCTGAAACCAGGAATATGATGCCTTAATTTTTATTCGTATAATATGTTCTCTGTAAAGTATGAACCTCCACTTGATGCTTGTATTTACAGGTGCCTGAGGAGCCGAGGGAGCTGATTTTACTTTTTATTTATTTATTTTATTTGGTGAGGGGATTGGGGCAGGGGGAGAAATTTTGTCTGAAAAAAAAATGCCCTCAGATGACAAGGTTTTCAGATTTATGGTTTTATCTCTTTTATCATGAGATACGACATCTGTGACAAGACTATGTTGCTCTTTCAAAGACATCCAGTTCAGAGGTAACAGTCATGAAATAGATAGATAAAACTGAGTTGGAAAAGAGTTGAGAAGAATCTACTTTAACCAGTGGGAGATTAATGGCAAGAATTACTGGAGCCAGAATAGTGGTGGGAAACAGATTCTGTTGGCAGTAATACTAACATTTGTAATACCAGAAACTGTCTTGTTCACCGTCAAGCTGCAAAAAAGGATCTTATCTTCAATATGTAAAATATTGTTCCCATACATCTGTAACTTTTTTTTTTTTTTTAATTGGTGCTGAAATTAAATTCCTGAGAGTATTGCCTCCCAGAGATTGGCTTTAACCAGAAGCTTTTGTGCAGCATGAAAAATCATACCAGTCCTTATTTTCATGCTGATTAAACAGTCAACCTCAGCCAGTTCTGATATGAGCTATATCATGTCTATACTTAAAAACAGAACTCCCAGACATTTGAGAAAATACAAGTTCAAGTTCTACCAAATACATGAAAAGATCGAACTTAGACATACCAAGCCATAAATGAGAAAGAGAATTATTGGATTATCAGAATCAGTTCCACTTTTCTGGCAATATTTTGATAGAAAAAGCTTGAATAGTTCACTAACTTTAGGAAATAGCTCAGAATTTAAGCCTAAGTAGTGATAAAAATAACAATTACAAAACCGAATCTTTGATTGTCAAGTACATGTCCTGTCAACAATATCACAAGAAGCTGCTAATAGGTCTTGCATAGTCTTTAGCTATTGGATCATGCGTGAGCTTTGTACTGTTAGAGGCAGTAATGCACTGAGTCCAAAGAGTTACAGATGGCTTAACTGGGAGATCCTGGTAAATCCTTTTTAGCAAGGTGCATTCCTTCTTCATTTCCTGAGAATCTTCTGTAAGAATCTGGCTTGTAATTGCCGCATACATTGCATGCCTTTTGACACCTTCTATAGATTCCTCTTTAAGTAGATGTTCTTTTCAAAGGGCAAATGAGAATTTACCTTTTCAGGGCAATTTCTCAGGAATTCCAAATACTGTGAAATGGCCTCAAGTAAAAGATGACATCTGCTGACAATATGACTGGGTAATAGTTCATGGAATTCAAGGGGATAATAAAGGAGTTTGGAGGGAAAATAAAAGAAATCTGTGGAAGTATACTTGTGCTTCAAATGATGGCAATGGCACTTGTATTTATTTCACTTCTGAGAGAAATCTTTGTTCCCTATGTTCTCTTACAGTCAGAATTGCTGAGGGTTATGACTGTGTCAGCCTTTGTGAAAAATATAAGGAAAAAGAAGATGAAAAATGAGAACATTTATAATGGAAATTTTCACACAAATACTTCTCTTTCATCAATTTCCCTTTTAATTTCAAATTGTATGGCCATTTCTGGCATCAACAACTTTCCTTCCTTCCTTCCTTCCTTCCTTCCTTCCTTCCTTCCTTCCTTCCTTCCTTCCTTCCTTCCTTCCTTCCTTCCTTCCTTCCTTCCTTCCTTCCTTCCTTCCTTCCTTCCTTCCTTCCTTCCTTCCTTCCTTCCTTCCTTCCTTCCTTCCTTCCTTCCTTCCTTCCTTCCTTCCTTCCTTCCTTCCTTCCTTCCTTCCTTCCTTCCTTCCTTCCTTCCTTCCTTCCTTCCTTCCTTCCTTCCTTCCTTCCTACCTTCCTTCCTTCCTTCCTTCCTTCCTTCCTTCCTTCCTTCCTTCCTTCCTTCCTTCCTTCCTTCCTTCCTTCCTTCCTTCCCTCCTTCCCTCCTTCCCTCCTTCCCTCCTTCCCTCCTTCCCTCCTTCCCTCCTTCCCTCCTTCCCTCCTTCCCTCCTTCCTTCCTTCCTTCCTTCCTTCCTTCCTTCCTTCCTTCCTTCCTTCCTTCCTTCCTTCCTTCCTTCCTTCCTTCCTTCCTTCCTTCCTTCCTTCCTTCCTTCCTTCCTTCCTTCCTTCCTTCCTTCCTTCCTTCCTTCCTTCCTTCCTTCCTTCCTTCCTTCCTTCCTTCCTTCCTTCTTTCTCTTTTTTTAAAGACTAAGAATACTCTGAAATGAAGCACTAGTACTTTCTACCACATTTTTTTCACAGGCATTTTTGTGTTGTACATATCCAATTATATCATTGGTATAAAGTGAAGAAGAAGAGTACTCAAATGTTTTCTGTGTACACTAAGAGATAAACTCCTAAATGTTATTGTTCTTCTACAGGAGTTAGAAGACTATAGGTCTGGAGATCTTGAAGAAGTGATTAGTATGCTTAGATTCTGCAAATGAAATATCACTAATAATAATATCTAAAGCATTCTCCTACTGTTCTCATCTTCCCATATTCTTTTCCCTTCTGTGAACTGGGACTTATCAGAAGGGTAAAATGGTAGGAAAAGTTATAAGTGTTCCTCTGCCTATCATGCAAACACATGCATAATAACCACTGGCAGTAATTCCATCTATGTTTAAAACTCATTTTACTCTTAGTGTGGGAGTTTTCCATCCCTTAAAGCTTAGAACAAAGAACGTAATTGTTTACCTCAACTCCTATCAGGCTGTGCTTGTTTTCCTCAACAGAGCACCTGAACAGTAAAGTCATCCTTTAATCATCTGCCATAAAAGCCATATCCATACCATTGTATGTATTCCCAGGCAATGAGCAGGACACAGGGTAATGGCAGCAAGTTGTATCAGAGGAGGTTCAGGTTGGACATAAGGAAGAACTTTTTCTCTCAGAGAGTGGTCAGGCACTGGAATGGCTGCCCAGAGAGGTGGTGGAGTCGCTGTCCCTGGCAGTGTTCAAGAGGCATCTGGATGAGGAGCTACGTGATGTGGTTTAGTACTAGTGGTGGCAATGGTGATGAGGAGACGGTTGGACTGGATGATCTTGTAGGTCGTTTCCAACCATGTGATTCTATGATTCTATGATTCTATTGTTGTATTTTGGCTTACTAGTGTGGCATATCATAGTGTCTTTAAGAACAAATGGGAGCAGTTAATTGTAGATCATTAAGCAGATGTCTAGTCATAAGGCCTCCAATTACCACTGTGCACTTAATGGAAACCAGTGACCTATGGCAAGTCTTACTCAGTGTCCTGCTCCTTCTTGCTCATCCTCCCACACAGCAGTTTGCCCCCTTCCCTTTGAGAGTTGTTCAGAAGAAAGTAGAGATTTAGCCTCTCATTGTCCACAGCCACATATGTCTTCTTAGCTTTTGTGGAGGGTAAGATGTTTCTCAGCTGATCTCCAAACATGCTTATCTGATTCTGCTCAAAAAACTGAATTTCTCCTTGGGACATACAGAAAGTAGTTATTCAGTCATTCAGTTCTAATTTGCATATTGGTTTCCTGCTTGTCTATGAAGGGAAGGTAAAAAAAAGCACTGCAGACATCTGGAGAGGAAAGCAACAATGCTGGTATGGGACACTGGCAGTATTAATGTTCTTAATCAAACACAAAATGTTTAAGGGGTTGCTAAGGGGTTGCCTTAACATATCATTATTCCTCCCCTGGCAAAGAATTCCATGGCTGTTTTTGTTTTTTCATTTTTCCTTTCTTTTTGTTCTTTTATCTGCCTTAGTTTCTCAGGATATCTTTGTTTGTTTGCTTGATTTTAAGATCATGAGGTCCTGGAGCACAAGCAAGAAGTCCCTTGCATGTAAAGTATGTAGTGCTACTGAAAAACCTGAACAGTGGCAGCAGTAAGACCTGGTAAGAGCAGTACCAAGTGATCATTTCATACTATGAAAACATTTTTACTCACAGAATCACAGAATCACAGAATTGTAGGGGTTGGAAGGGACCTCCAGAGATCATCGAGTCCAACCCCCCAAAAACAGAGGATGTTCTATGCTTTTAACAGCTTTTCCCACAGAAAAAATTCTGAGGCGTGGAAATAAGTTTTCAGTAAAAGAGACAAAATGGGCAGTTCAACACAAGTCCCTTTTGTGATTTTTTTTTTTTTTTTTTAATACAGGTGGATTTCTGCATAGAAATTTTTTAAAAACTCAGAGATTTCAGAAAATTCACATTCTACTGTCAGTTCTCAATAAAAATTCTAAGTAATTAAATAAGATTCTTTGACTGATGTGTAATTCAGATTCCATTTTGTCCTTTTTTTTCTGTTGTTTTCTTTTTCTAACTCTTATCTAATAGTCTACTCATAAGCTACTTTCCACACCATGTATTTTTAAGAACTTTGATGAGGTCTCTTTGACTAGTTCTTTTAAGTGATTCACATTTTCACTCATATAAGCTTTGCTCTACTCTGAAAGGGGAAAGAGGCCTTGTAATTTCTTGTTTCAGATCCTGGGTCCTTTGAACTTAAATGTATATCTGCACTCAGATTCAGCGCAACCCCAATTTCCTCTTTATCTCTCAGTCTCCTCTCCTTAGGAAAGTTGTGATCATTACTGCCTATTTACCCATACTATATGATGAAAGCTACTTTAAATATCAAGGTAGAGTGCTTTCTACACAGTCACCCACACCAGAGATACACCAGAGGTATTCTATATACTGTGACAACATTAAATAATCCTTTGCACTACATATATACTATAAACATGAAAATGCAGGGACTGTATGCATCGCTGAAAGGTATGCTGCTGTTCACTCTTATGAGTTATGAAAGTCTGAACAAAGCTCTAATTTTATGTCCATTCTTCCAATACAGCTTGTTTCCCTGTCTGTGATGGAGGTATAACTTTCTAAGACAGGAGCATTTCAAACATTCTGTGTTGGGCTGCATACCATGGCTGTGGTTCACCTCCCTTCATATGCATCAGCCCAACAACAGTGGCACCTTGCTAGGGAATGGGTTAGGGATACAGTCTGTGTCATGATCATACTTTGGGGAAGGGATAGATATCAGAGCTGTTCTCTATCCAAATAATTTCTCAATCCCAAATTTGTGCATCCTCATTAACAGTTGCACAAGTGTATTTGAGGACCCTAACCTGTGCACTGTTAGGATTAGAGGGCTTCTCACTGATTTCATCACAAAGTCAAAGGATTAATGGGAATCTACTAAGAATTTTAAAGAAAAATACAGAGAGATTCACGCGATTACAAAATTGTTCATTTTCTTTCAGCTTTTCACCTTCCAGTGTTGTTACAGGCAATTCACAAAATGTTTGCAAAGCACTTTGGGATGCTGAGATAGAAACCAGGATCTGAGCCGTTATAAAGAACAGTTAATTATAAAAATGTAAATTAAAGTAATTATATATGCAAATTTTCATTAAGCTGTTTAATACAACACTTAGAGTTTCATTCTTTATGCCTGCATGTAAATTATGCAAATTGTTACTACATCATTTATTTCATTTGCACATGTACAATTTTATTCTACCTACAAAATGTGCATGCGTTTAAAATAAACCTAATCTCTCACTGGCTTACTGTAAACACTTGTAAATTTGAAAGGAAGTTGCTATGTTCTACTCTTCAGAAAAAAGGAAACAAACAAGCAGAAAGAAAAACTTCTGTGGTTTGCAGACTTTGATCAGTCTGAAAGAGCATTCCTTTGCCCTCAGCCTTTCTAAGTACCCCGCGTTGCCCTCTGGCCAGCAATCAGAGCAAACAGATTCTTCTTGCTTCTGCTTCACTGCATCTGTTCCAACTCCTGCCATGCACAGAAAATCAGTACTCTTGAAAGAAAATTTTAAAAAACAGAATTTAAAAGGCTGAACAGGTGTTCAGGTCAATAGTTTCATTTTAAATATTGATGTTGAAAATTTCTTTCTCTTTTCCCCATAATAAAAATTAACCAGTCATTCACCAGATTGAACAATGTTGTTTCTCTGAACAATGGTTAGAACGTTAAACAAACATGTGAAGATCTATTTCTCTGTGCCTAAGCTTTCAAAAGTTATTGGGTGGGGTTTTTTTCTTTTTTTTTTTCAAGGCTCAAGTGTTTTGGTTTTTATTTGCTAAATAAATATATAAAAATATAAGCTGTGTTATCTAAAGGTGAACTGCAAACTAATTAACTATGAATCAACAGCAGAAAACCTGTGTAGACTTGAATGTTAAAAATAGACTTACCATATGTTCATGTTACACTTAATATTTTGCAAGGATATAAACTTAAATTAAGAAGCCTGCCTTGTTTAGATGCCTACTTTAAAACCTCTCTTATTAAAACTCATATTCCTGGAGATCCAGTGAAGAATCTGTTTCTCCTGTTAAGAATCCTAAGTTTCTTGCATCAAGCAGTTTTCTCTATCAACCTGAGGCTGAAATTCCTGCTTTCAGGATCTCCTTTTCTGCTTTAGCTATTTTGGGCATCATGTCTCTTTTGGTAAATATTAAGGACATTTAAACTGGGAGCCTCTTCCACCAAGACTTTATAGGAGAAATTGCTGATCCATCCTGCCCAGCCTGTTCTGATGAGACACATTAAGTGAAAATAGTGATGCTGATTTTTCAGTTCTGGCATCACAGAACAGAGTGCTTGGCCAGAACGAGGAATCTCTCTGATGAAGTGACTGGGCATCTCCACAGAACACTGAAGAATCACTCAGAATGTAGCCAAAGCCTCCTGAGCTTAACCTGAGCACAAGCTCTCCCCATCTCTCCTCCTAAAGAAAACAGTGTTGGTGAAACCTGACAGCATAGAAACCAGGAAAGCAACAGATACCAATGAGGTGTCACACTAGAGTAGGCAATCCCTTTGTTTGAGGAATAAAGGGAAATTAGGAGTCCCAGCAGCTGTTCCAAGCACTTTGCTATTTTTATTTTGCAGTTATTTATATGCTAACATAAAATTATTCCCATAAGAGTGCTTTTACTCCCTGCCAGGTCAATAGCTACTTGTCTTAAACCCAGGAAAGTTTTACCTTCAGGAAAGGTGAAGGTGTGGGGATAATGTGGGTCAATTTAAATCTGAAATGTAGTGAGATTTTTAATGGAAGATGCAAAACTGCATGACCAGAGCATGATCCTGAGGGTAAGACTCACGTAAATACCCTTGAGATGCACTGACAGGAGCCCCAGTTAATGAGTTAATGTAGATGGTAGAGGTTACAGGGCTGGAAAGCTCGTATCTGACTGCTCTCTACAGTTTTTAGGCTCATAAATACTACTTGTAGCTCATCTGCCAATCAACTCAGTGGCTAAAGTATTCTAGAAGCATCTCACATGAAATGCACCGTGAAATAGGGATTCCAGGGATGATCTTGACTTATCACTAGATTTTTCCAAAGGCAATGCACTTGGGTTAGCTGTGTTCATCATCCCTACTCAAGAATTACTTTGCATAACAGTATTTATTTTGCTTCTAAACTTGGGTTAGATGGGTTTAGAACAAAGCATCTTTGCACAGTGTCACTGGGGCTGTGTGGGTGCACTGAGATTCTGAGTCTGAGGAAAAAATCTTTGATCTTTTCTATGACTCGTTGATTTTAACAATGAAAGCTGCTTTATGCATGTTGCTGTGTAAAATTACACAGCAAAACCACTGTAATATTCAATATGGCAGATCAAATCCTGGCTATAGAAAGACTCAAATGTATAGAGTAGAAAATTCATAGAAAGATTCATAGAGTAGAACATGCATAGAGTAGAAAATGTATAGAGTAGAAAATTCATCATCAATAGAAAGCCCTATAGCTTTCTATTTGGTAAGACTGAATTTTGTCATTATGAAACTGTGGGCAAAAGCCTTGAAGCAAGGGCCTATTAGACACAGAACTGCAACATCTTTTGCTTAGGTGTTCTGCTACACAGATTTAGCATCTGAAACCAGGGCCCACCAGAAGTCCAATGCAAGAGCGCTAACAGAGAGAAGAGAAAAAGCTCTGTTAACTTCTCAGTCTTAAAAATGACTCTGACTCCAGATTGGAGGGAAATATACCACACCGTGTTAACACTCATTTGTCCCAAACAAGCTTAAAACTAAGACTAGTTTCTTGAACAAGTAACCAGTTAACAAGATACAGGTTAAAATCCTTGTTTTCTTTAATTTGAAGAAGGATCTAAAACTGTTGCTACCTTGTTTCATTGTCTTAGCCATCATATTCAGAGATATTCATATTGGTATATAAAATAATGTTAAAAGTATCAACTATAAAATATTTAATTAAAATGAGATATTGAACTCAGGGCACAGATACATCTGCAATTCAGCTATTGTTTCAACCCAGTCCTGATAACAAGTGAATCCATGCACTTAGCTATTCAGATATACAGTTTATATAGGAAGAAGATTGTGATTGGTGAAAAGATTAGCTGGGTTGTGCTAGTTTGAAAACTGCTTTGCATGTGATTCCACCAGTGCCACAATTAAGTATATAGTTTGAAAATCTAGCATTGCAACTAGATGAGCAATGCCAAAGCTGGAGCTGTACATTATGCAATCAGTGGTAGAAGAGTTGCTGTTAAGAAAAGATCAGCATTCAAACATCAAAGATTTTTGCTTTAGCTTCCTCCAGAGTTACGTAGAATCTGGAAGTATGTACAAATATTGTATTTATTGACTCAAGTATCTCACCTATTTATGATCCTCATGCTAGGAAATCTTAGAGAAGAAACAAACTTAGTTTGCATAGTTTTACTCTGCTCTTTTAATAATGCTCAACTTTATGCCAAAATTTACAGCTGTGGCAGTTCTATTCTGCCTGTTCACATTAAAGTTTTATTAACGGCCTTGTCATTCTTCTTACCATGTTATCTTTTGATGGTAGCATTTGTCTTCTCAGATTAAATTGTTTTTGGTGCTAATTACATGTAGTTCTTTTACAACCTGCCAAAGTAGTCTGTGGGACTAAAAGGAAGCATCAGAATCAGCAGCATTCCAGAAATTATGGCTGCAGACAACTTTATCCCTTTTGTAAACTTACCTCAAAACTACCTTTTTTCATTCCCCAGACCTTAACAATTACTGGATATTATAGATCTCATCCCTCTGACATTCAGGAACATTCTTGTTCTCAACCTAATTTGCTCCTGGGCAGATTATAACTGTCCTTTTTTGTTAAATCTTAAAGATGGGTGACTTCAAATTTTATCATTCTGATTTATTCATTACAAATGCAAGCTCAACGTAGTTAAAAAAGACGAATTTCTAATTTTCCACATGCATATTCATTAGCAGGTAGAAGGGATCATACACAATCACAGTGCTTACTGAGGCAATTTGCCTGCATCTGCCCACTATTTAATGTTTCATGTCACTTGTGCTTTAGACTTCTTTCTTAGTGCTGCAGCACTGATCAATTTCCTGTATATGTGATGATAGAGAATGGCTCCACCATATCAAGAAAGAAGTTCAAAGGGAGGAACTGACTTACCAAAAATTTATGTTGAACTCCATGCTTGAGATCAGAGGTGAATTCATAGTGACTGACTGTCAGAGATGAGTTCATGCATGATCCATTCCACATTTGGCATCATCAGCAGTAATTCTACCACCTGAATGTCCATGTGAAGATATGAAGAAGGAATATGGAACATTAAGGAATAAGCTAGTAGTGCTGGAGAGCTGAAAGTGTGTTATGGGTAAAAATGATAGACAGCTTGGGCAACTGGAATGGACTCCTTCCAGCCAGAGAAGGAGGAATAGTAGAGATAGAAGACTTTATTTATTTATTTATTTGTTTATTTATTTATTTATTTATTTTGTTTACTTAGCACAGAAAAAAGGCTTCATTTACTTAGTGCAGAAAAAGGCTTTTTATGACAAACTGCTTAGGATAACTGCTTATTGTCTGATTTGTCCAAGGCCAGACATTTCCAGCTGTTTACAAGGAAAGCACATTATGCTACATATGTATTGTGGTGCCTCTCACACTTTCTTCCTGTTCATTTTGTTGACACAAGTCTACTGGTTTCAGTGCAACTGCACAGGCTCAAAACTGAAGTAGCCCCTGTCTTAACAATGTCAGACAAATTATCCATCATGCATGAAAGAACCATGCCAACTTCTATGTGCACTGCTGTGGTACTTTCATGATGAACTGTAATTATATCTTATCTCTGATTATTTCCAGGGCTTCCACTGAAATGGGAATCTCTATCATTGACAGAATGTGCTAAAAACATAATCACAGACAAAAAGAAAAAAAAATCCACATTTTTTGCTTTTCACTCATTCAGAAGTGATTTATTGCATTCCTTGTAATGTGAAAAAAATGAACTTTCTCAGTTGTTATGGGAACAAATATAGTCAACTATTTACAGCACATCTGTTAAGCTGCTGTGCCAAGGAACCTTTTGGAACACAGATTCTTTTGTAAGTGAAATCCACATTTTAATTCCTTGATGTTTCTCCCTAAAATTCTGTGCTGTACTGTACATATTTTCTTAATTTCTCATTATTTTTGATCATTTTTTATGATGGAAGGCTGATGTCACCACATTTTTTTATTGGACTTCCAAAATGTAAGAGTTGTTAACCTATCTCACTTTCGTCCTGAGGGAGACATTAGATTTAATGAAGCAGTAATCCTGACATTCTTGAGTTGGATTGGCAATCAGTTTCATGTAATTGGATTAGTAGAATATTCTGAGCTGGAAGATCCTCTGACAATTTGCATATAGATGTGTAAAGTGCTTCACCATTATTTAAATTCTGATTATTTGTATTCACACAGTTGACCTGAGGTTTCCTAATGAGATGTCACCTCATTTTACTATTTAGTGTTTATACTAGTCCAATTGTTTGTATTTGTCACCACATAGTTAAAAGGTTCATGGAGGAACACTCGTGAGGAATCACCGGATATGAGAGAGTTTGGATGTGAGCCCACAGAGGTTCTTTGCAGGTGTTAACCAACTACTCCATAGAGTATTTCCCTGAGATTTTTTTTCTTTGGAACTCAAATATACCCTCTCTGAGTAAACAATAATCTACAGTGCTTCTTCCTAGATCTTTTCCTAACTTTCATGGTTGTAGTTTCCCTCCTGGTAGTAAAGATTTCTAATACTCTGAAAAGCTCCTCAATGCTCCTTTATCTATCTCGAACCATTAAAATCTACTAGACATCTTCTGGAGATTACTTTCACAGTATCTCACACATAACCTAGAAGAATGACATAATGACATGAATATTTCAGCCCTACAAAAAAA